GGCCAGAGTCCACGGGGGAGACGGGATACCGCAGGGCAAACTTTAGCGAGCAGGCGAGGAGTGGGTTAAGAAGGGAATGGAGATGGGAAAAGAGAAGTGGGAATGGAGTCGGGGAGGAGCACAGAGCAGAGAGCCGAAGGCGAGGTTCAGGAGGAGGAGGCGGAGACGGGGGAGCGGACGACGTCACTCTGATTGACGCACGATGAGACACTGTGAGCGAGCGAGCGAGCGAGCGAGCGAGAGAGAGTGCTGACCCACGTCGGTGTGGGTTGTGTTGCAACTGCTCCCTCGCCACTTGGCACCTCCCCCCTTCTCCCCCCTTCGGCGACGATCGTCGACGTTCGTCGTCTTTCATTTCATTTCATGGCTGTTCTGGTCTACTCAGGTCTACTCTGGTCTACTACTACTGCTACTCCTCCTCGATGCTGCACTCCTTCCTTTCCTTTTGCTCCCTGCGTCACGTCCCCGTTGACACCGGGCGTTGATTGCTCACCGCGCGGGAGGCGCTTCCTGGCTCATTTGCATTATTCAGCTCAGGTATCATCTGCACTGCACGCACCGCAGCAGCACATCCCCGTCGGAGTGTGGTGCCCCCTTCGTGACCCTGAAGCAACGCTGCAGTCTGGGCAGGCAGTGTGTGCATGTCGCACCCTAGATGGCCGTTACGCTTGACTCTGGAGTCACGTTGTTTTGGCTTTGGAGGTAGCGGATACGAGATCTTACGGTTTCCGTTCATCTACGTGGACGTATTATTGGTTTAGTGTCTGTTACTTTGTCCTCGTTATTTGAACCATTGGGAATCTGGTTTGATGTTGGGCCATCTTCTATCTGATTAGACTTTCTGTGTTGCGGAACATGCACAAAATTATAACCTTTAGTAGGGTTTCCAATTAGAAGGGTTTGCAATGATTTGTGTTCGGGTGCCAAACCTTGTTGGATGTATGTGGTTCTGAGGTTATTCCATCCATTAGCTTATTGTAGATATTAATCACAAAGCTTTATGCAATTTTTACACACACACACACACACACACATATATATATATATATATATATTGTTATTGTTATTGGAAATAAAACTTATAATTGATTAATAGAAGAGACAAATGTGTTTACATAAAAATACTTATTAATATTATGTATGGATATATTACCAAAATTATTAAAGAAATTAAATAAAATATATCAAAAATAATATAGTAATAATTGTGGTGAATATTTTAATAAAATAACACATAAAAATTTAAGAAAAATTACCAAACAAGTGGTTGTTTGATAACCACAAAGTTTTCAAATCAATGTAATAGTATGACATTAGTTAAGACTATAATAAATATCAATAAGTCAACAAGATAGAAGATATCATATTATTAGGCTAATTTTAATTATGTTTATAATTTCATTAATAGCATTGTAATTTTTATTATAATTATAAAAGCAATTGGTAGCCTGAGCTTAACAAAAATCAAAATAAATAATGTCATAGAAAACTATTGAGAATTGCCAAACAAGAAATAGCATAAGAATTAAAGATTGTCAAGCTTAATTGTAGCAGTTATTTAAGAGAAGTCAAAAAAAATTAAATTAAAAATATATGTATATTAGTATGACAATGCAAGGAATACTAAACTACAATATGGTTTAAGTGGTAGTACTTTATTTATAAATACTAACCATTAAAACTATGATTATGTTGCTTTTAGACATTTTTTATGTATCTCTTATTTATTTTTTTCTCAAATAGATTTGTAGCAATTGTGGCATTGTGTTAATCTATTTTAGATTATTGTGTTAGTAGTTATATTTAAAAATAGTTGTTGTTGTCATTGTTACTGTTGTTATTTTTTATTATCATTATTTTTTTCTTCTTTAGAAAAGGAACAAATATGATGGTGTTATAATTAAGATTTTTGATTGAAATATCAGCCATTGACCAAGAAACTTTGATAACATTCTATATAATTGGAGAATAGCTTTCATAGTTACCAACCAATATTTAGTTTTTTATTTGTCTATCCAAAGAACAATCTATCTTGTTGATAATCTTATTATACAATCTTTTTATTTGTAAATTTAGAGTATTATTAAATAATTACATCCTTCTAAATATGGTGCAATTGTAGATTTTCTCTTATCATTTATTATTCTTGTGAACTTAAAAATTGACACTTTCAATCTCTATATGTTACTTTTAAATATAATTCACATGAAAAAAATAGAATTACAGAAAACTGAATATTTACATACAAAAAATGAAAATAGTTTGCATATTTTTTTTATTAGGAAATGGTTTATAATGTTAAAATAATTTTTTAACATATATCTTATTTATAAATTATTAGGATTTACATGTATAATTAGCTCTGGAATTTTCTCTAATCTATGGCTTGACCTTTCAAACTTAAGTGTATACTTTTACATGAAGAAAAAAAATTAGTAATAACAATGTAGTACTATATCAAAACACATAAAATTATCCAAATAGTTTTTTCAAAACTCAAAAAAAGTGATAAACCATGTAATAACTTTTGATGGGTGTGAAGATGACATCTATAATTCTTTGATTATACCATTGATATTTACCAAAAGATTATTGTACAAACTCCTTATGACTCACTATAAAAACTATTAGAGAAAATTTTCCATTTGTACTAGATTCTATAAATAATTTCCAAGTTTTTTCAAAAGTCTTACAATATATATGGTTTAATCCTTAAATTCTTTCTTTGTATGCATATATACACACATATTCATTTTCTAATATCTTATTAAAACTTATGGGTTAAAAAAAGTCAAAATAGAAACTATTGTAAAATCATAAGAGTTTGTCATTGAATTATTAATTGGCTTTAAACATGATAGTTATTCCAATGTTTAGTCAGGCAATATTTTTTCTTTTGGCTCACATTGTACAATAATTTTATTTCAAAATGAACAATCAGCAATTATTTATACTTGTGCTAGAAAACATAATTAAATTGTTGCACTCTTTTATTTTCTTTTTTAATATTGAGCCTCTTTGTAATAATTATTAAAGCAGCTTTTATCATGTGACCTAATGAGTATAACAAAATATTTTTATAATTGCAATTTGGGTCATGATTTGCATACTCATTGTTCAAGATAAAGTAACAATGCCTTTTTTTAATTTTTAATTTCTATTTATATTTAGATCAAGTCCTAAATTTTCTTACAAATGGAATTAATATTTGAAACAATGATAGTTTCAAATCATCAGTCACTCATCATATAAACAATATATATATGTATATATTTTTTTGATAATGTTGGTATCAAACTTGCTTCAATTGAAATAAAGACATGTCTATCACAATACTATTGTGTTTGCAAGAGTAAATCAACAATCATCAAAGAAATAACTGAAAAATAATAAAAAAACAATAAATAAATAAATAAATAAATAAATAAATAATTTTTTATATGTATTTTTTTCTGTCACAATAGGCTCTTTAACTAGAGAAAACTATTTCCAAATTGTAACTAATAACTAGTAACAAATCATTTCACAGTTTTATAAACCCAGAATAATTAGAAGGTGGACGCAGTTTTCGAAAGGCACTTTTGCATTCGTGGCAAGTGACGAAACCTGAGCTCTAAGTAGATTTTTTGTTCCAACTGCTGAAAGAAAGTGACAGCTGACGCCAGCAACCAAAGCCAAGCAACCCTTTCAAATGCCAACTCAGCCTTTCTAAGGCTCCGACGTGGCATGAGAGCACCATGGTGCAGAGCCGGGGGGAGGGGATTCGAAGTGCGGCATTTCAAACGGAAGCCCGGACTTGTCCAGAGCGGCGAGGGAGAGAGATTGATTGGCGCCATTCGGAAGAGAGAGCTCACCACGCTGTATCCATCAGGATTTTGTGTGTTGCTCGCGCATCGTGATGACGATGCGACCCAGGTCCTAGAAGGGGAAAAAAGCAAACACTTCAAGGCTGTGAAGGGCAAGGTTAGTGAGAAAAAACCAAAGACATTGTGAGATTGTGCCATCATCATGCGCGCTGCAGGCCTGTCTTCGTGGATGAGCGGTTTTCGATGCTCCAGGCGAAACTGGAAGTGGCGTGGTGTGGTGTGGCGGATCCGCTGTGGTTAGCACCCCGCGTGTGGAAAATAAGAACTTCTTCCTCGTTCTGGTCCTGACAGCCACAGAACAGAGAGGGCAGTCCGCATTCGCTCCCCGGAACTGCTGCGGAAGTCTACTCAATCTCTCATTTCGTGGTGGAGTGCTTCTCTCTCCTGCTGCTGCAGACACACTGAACTGACATAACCATCATCGGCTTTAATTTGTGCAACAAAAATAAATTCAGGCACTCTGCCTGACAACAGCAGCATTGACAGACGATTACGACGACAACGACGACGGTTATGGGGTTCCCCGAGGGCAAAGTGAACGACGTTCGCTTCAATTGAACGAAGAAAGGAACGACCGAACGTATACATGGATGTATGTCATTCATTCGAAGAGGAATGGTAGAGGTCCGAACCGGGATCGAGGAAATGATGATGTTTCTCCAACTTGCTGGTGTTTGGTCAACCTTGCCACAGTTTGGATGAATGATTTCTGATTTCGGGAATTATTGGTTGATTATGTTCATCCATCCAACGTACAGTCTCGAGGAATTTGCTTATAATTGGATCAAGAGCATTATGTGAAATATCTATAAAAAATCAATATAAAAACATATTAATTTTGACTTGATTGAACAAGCATATAACTTATCCAATGGAATTTTTTATATTAACTGCTTTAAGTAAAGTATCTTGAGTCAACAGTAATACAGTTCGTGTGATTGAATGCATGTATTATTTGACACATACATTTGAAGAATCAAGTTCTTTTTATGGTTGGATGTTTGATACATGTCTATTTTTATTATTCGATTTATGTGCTTATCTTATTGCTGCAGAACCTTGCAATATAGCTGATCCATAAATTAATCTTTTGATTAATTGAGACAAAACAAAAAAGTATCCAAGTCAAAAATATGCATATAAAAAATGCATCTCCAAAAACATGGCCTTTGATATCCTATTTCCAAATTGGATGTAGAAGAAAATAAATATTTAAAATCTGTTTCCATCCAAATGAATATTTTGGGCAAGTCCAAAAATAGATTCTATATGTCCACTTAAGTCCATCCCTTACTGTGCAAACAAATCTCTACAATACACGTAATATATACAACTATATATATTAAAGGAAGGTCTCTACCCCTTCAAATGACAATCTATTACACAGTATTTATTTGTAGGTCAACTTGGGAGGTGCATCTACGAGACCCCAAAAACATAAATTAATCAACAACCACCAGTTGCAATTAACAATTAAGAGCTCAAGATGGTCATCTGCATCCATACTATTTCTTACCTACACACAAGCACACGTAAATAAGAAGAATATACTTTGGACTTAACAATGAGAATTCTGTTCAAGTTAAAGTTGATGAAGGAAATTAACTGTTTGAGACGCATGAAGTAGCAATGAACTTTGTAACAAACCTTACTGGTCATTTCATTGCACAAGTTGAAAACAAAACATTTGCAAGGAACTTCCGACTTTAACTTCAACTTCTGGCTTTAAAAATAGATTCAACCCATGATCAGTGTCTTAGAAGTAGATGCAATAGAATATAAATTAACAACTTTTAGACAACCTTCATGCCTTTGGCCATAACAATGCTTTAAGCCATATTCATCAAATTCCAAACCTGAAGTTCACGTAAGGTACTTTTTATGATGAACACTGCTTGGTGGTATGTCATCTAAAACTTAATTCATATTCATTTTCAGTTTCTTGAGTACAAAACCAACAGCAAAAAGCAGAAAATGAAAAAATCAAATAAAAATTTCGGTTGTGTATCCTATCCTGACAATTAGATAAAGTTAAAGAAATAGACATCGTTGATTAACACATAAAAAAACGCACCATGCTACACAATCAAATGATAAACAGCAAAAGAATACAAGACCCTCATGATGTATGAGACACTTTTATACTATGATCATCTTCCAAAGTGAACTACTTTCTCTTATGACTGACTAAGTATTAATCTGATTTCGATTGTCTTTGTATTTCGAACTATTTTTTCAATACTGCATACAACACTCTTAAAAACTTAATGTTTTTTTTCGCTTGCAATAACCAACTTCAAAAATCAGTGGTGTCGTAAGGATTTTTTTACCTTGTTGTTTGTCGTTGCTTCACGTTGTTGAAGGAGATAGAATGTTTCGTGTCGTTTCCATTCTAATGCAAAAAAATTGTCGAAGCCTGTATGTAAAAGAGTGAAGAAAATCGCTATCTAGGGTACACATTAAACCTTAAAATTTTCACATCCACGTGGGCAGGTTCAACTGGTAACGCAAGAGGATTGGAACTAGTTGAAAGCCGAAAACCCTGAATCTAGTGGATATGGCGGCTACAGCGATGAGAGATGCAATACCTGCAAGGAAGACAAACGCGAACCTCGTGTGGATAAAATCAATCTGTTGCAGAACCCAGAGCAGATAAAAGCACAGATAGCCCCAAGAGTAGCAGCCGAGGGTGGGAACTGGAAGGCGATGCTCGAACCGGATTTTGCCTCGACTAGCAATACGCTGAAATAGCGTCTCGAAGTCCCTCAAAACATTCGAAATGGGGTGTTGAGGGAGCTGGGTGGTCGAGGGAAGAAGGTGGTGGGCAACTGGCTGACCCGGTTTCTAAACCATAGTCGAGACATGGGTTCCTTCAACCGGACTTCGCCGGATGGCAACCGGAGTTGATTGATGCGTTCATCCAATCGCTCCGTCGGGAGTTAATTCTTCGAAACCTCGCACACCATGGAGCAATTTTGTTTACACCGAATCGAGTTGCGGAGGGTTTCAGCATAATACAATAATCTCGGAAGCTTTGAAGAACTAAAAAGTATTCCCGTGTCCAGGGAACGTCGCATGGGCTGAACTGGAGGCTTTAGCTTTGCGTGGATGCTATGTTGCTTGTATGGAGACGTCCCAGTGCCATCCAACAACTCTTATGCATTTTGTTGCACTGTGCAACAGAGCAGAACGGAGGTATTGTAGACATTCAGGAGGACGAGGAACTCACTGTGTGCTTCTTCTATTACTGGCATTGGAGCTTCTCTGTGTAGGTTACCTTGACTCAAACCTTGTACAAGCACCACTTGTGTATTGCCGTCTTTTAAGAGTGTCGTGAGGATTGTGCAATTCTCTACGTTTTCTGCGCTTTTATTTATTTATTTTTTCAACCCTATTTCTTTTGAATATTGAGTAGGAGCTGCGTCTCTGGGAATGTCTTGCAATTGAGCGTAAAGAGTGATGATGCACAATCGGCCTGGATATTTTTGATGAGCTGTTTGGGTAATTGGAAATCGGCTGTGGGAGTTGATTGAATTGATCATGTAGCACTGCATGCTAAGAAGAGAGTGTCAGTGTAGGTTGAGTGGCGATCTGGAAATTGAGTTGGAGATTTGCAAGCCATGGAGGTGAGCATGGAGCTACACGCGGTGAACAGGAAAAAATTGCTATCAAGGATGAGTGACCAGGTCAAATCGATGGGTCAACCTGTGAATGGTGTGATCCTGCTCCAAGGAGGCGACGAGTGCACACGTTACTGCACTGACCACACTCCCCTGTTCAGACAGGAGAGTTACTTCGCCTACTTGTTTGGTGTGAAAGAGCCTGGTTTCTTTGGAACCCTGGATTTGTCCAACGGGAAATCAGCCTTGTATTGTCCACGACTTGACCCCGAGTACGCCGTGTGGCTTGGGGAAATTCAACCTCCCTCACATTTCAAAGACCTATATGGTGTAGACGAGGTGCACTACGTCGACGAGCTTGTTGAGGTTTTAAACAAATCCCGAGCTGGGGTTTCCAGTTGGCTGCTTTACCTTCTATATGGGAAAAACAGTGACAGTGGTAATTTCTCCCAACCTGCTCAATTCGAGGGTATCGAGGACTTTGCTGTTGATAAGGAGGTACTGCATCCCGTGTTGAGCGAATGCCGCGTGCACAAATCTAAACTTGAAATTGATTTGATGCGCTACGTTTGTAAGGTACGTTCGAACTACCAGAGGATCACTTTTATAACGATGAGAGCAATTTAGAGGTTGAGGGTATTCTCAATTTTTTGGGTGCCAAAATGTACATTTGTACACTTGTACGATTTTCAATTCGTTGCTGGTCTTCTGGTCTTCTAATGTTGGGTTGTGATCCTTATGCGTCCGATTGGTCAATGTCCAGGTCAGTTCGGCAGCCCACATCCAAGTGATGCAGGAATGTAAACCAGGCATGCGAGAGTACCAGCTTGAAGCTATCTTTCTGCACCATGTGTATCGTTATGGAGGATGTCGTCATTGCTCTTACACTTGTATTTGTGCCACTGGGACCAACAGCTCCGTTCTTCATTATGGCCATGCTGCAGCACCCAATGACAGGCTTCTGGAAAACGGCGACATGGCACTGCTTGACATGGGTGCCGAGTATCACTTTTATGGTTCGGATATCACCTGCTCCTTCCCAGTGAATGGAACTTTTACCGACAATCAGAAGGTTGTGTATACTGCGGTTCTAAAGGCACAAAACGCCGTCATACGTGCAATCAGGTAATTGAGTGAATTATTTTGCATCCAACTCCTCTTAGGTTACATGTCATCTTAGAGTCATCATCGTCTGTTGTGATTAGTTATGCGTGCATTGCTTAAGTCATAGCACTGTGATGAAATTGAGAATTTTAAATGATCTCGGTATCTGCTGTATGTTTGGATCCTTGCTAAGACAAAATAGTAAGGAAGTTTTTGTCTTTAACTTTGAAGTTCCTAAGACTCAGCTAATGCAAATAAGACTATGTTGCTACAAACAGGCCAGGAGTGAGCTGGGTGGATCTTCACAAATTGGCCGAGTCTTGCATCCTTGAGACTCTGAAAGAGAACGGAGTGCTTCAAGGGGATGTACAAGCAATGATGGAGAGCCGACTGGGTGCTATATTTATGCCCCATGGGCTTGGTCATTTCCTGGGGCTTGATACTCATGACACAGGTGGCTATCCTGCAGGAACAGAACGGATCAACTCACCAGGCCTGAAGTCCTTGCGAACAGTTCGAATCCTGGAGGAGGGTATGGTGGTTACTGTTGAACCTGGGTGCTATTTCATTGAAGCACTCCTGGTCCCTGCCTTGGAGGACCCTGCCCAGCGCAATTTCTTCGTGGAGCCGGCGCTTGAAGTGTTCCGTCACACTGGCGGTGTGAGGCTGGAAGATGATATTCTGGTCACTGCCAATGGGTGTGAAAATCTCACCATTTGTCCCCGTGAAATTGAGGATGTTGAGGCTGTCATGAAAGGAAGTTGGCCAATGTAATTGCCTGAGATTCCGGATTGAGGAACGGCAGATGTCTATATCTCCAGGCAAGACAACTGGGTCGTGAAGGAGGTGAACAACTTGGGGCTTCTCGAGCAAACAGTCTGCTACTCCATGTTCAAAGTATTATAGGGTGAGTCACGGATGCTCTCAGCTACTGGTTTCAGGTGAGGGCATTATCGATATCATAAAGATCCTGTGAGTAATTTATAGCTAACGACCGAGGAGGTTGTAGTAGTTAAGTGGATGAAAGCTGCAGGAACGGATTGATTAAGTCACAGACCCAGTTAAAGGCGGGTCCTTTCGTGAAGTTGCAGTAATGTATTCTCTCGCACCTGATTTGATGAGTAAGACTGCGGGGTGTCCTACATTGTCTAATAATTTAGTGAAGCTTCGTGTTAATGGCTTGACATTCAAGGACTTTTTGTCTTAGTTGATTCCATTTTGAATGGATATGCTTTGAGCCGGATTGCACTCTGTCGGCATTGAAACGTTTTGATATGGCTCCAATTTAGCTGGACTGGTTAGCAGTCGAGATGGGGGATTGTTGGTGGGCGTGACCATGCTCAAGGCGAGTGGTAAACTAGAAACAGCGCATCAGTACTTTGTTGTGAATAATTTCCATATGCTTGCCAGTGAACACTCATTTTTAGCTCCATCAAGATGTCGTGTTGTTCTGAACTGCTGGTTTGGCTGCGAATTAAAGATGACAGGCCTTTCCTTGTAACATCTTCTCAGGGCTGTAGGCTCCATGAGAGTTACTTGTAACCCACGACTGTCCCTTTACTGTGTAGATCTGTGACAAACTCATGCTTTGAGACAATCTGTCTGTTTTACGACAGCCAGTGACTCAGTAGCTTCCTAGTACGACTATGACAACGAGGCCTTGGCTGCTATCTGGTATACCATCTGTACTAGATACAATTTTCTATCTCTATGATTACCCACTTGGATGTGAACGATGGACATTGGAGCTTTAGGTGAGCGATACAGAAAAAAATTACTCCTCCGAATGTTTGGAATGTTCTATGATGGGCATTTTTTGTGACTCAGGAACTGTAGTACATGTGGAAATGGATTGTCATAGCCCAGATGGTGCTAGCTTTATCTGGAACGACCATTGCAAAAAAGTGAGCAAGTTCATAGGAAAGAGCTGAATTGAGTAAAATTCTGGACCATGATCACATTATTGAGCAACAGAGAGAAAGGCAGCATCTTCTTTTTGATGTGGCAGGGTAGGTTGGAAGTCATATTTAATTAAGCCTGGTACTGTCATGTGGTCATGGGTTTCTTCTCTAGCCAGGTACGAGTTTGTACTCAACTTTGCCACCCCCAACTGACTTTGTTGAGAACCAAGTATATATTCAAACCTACCTGACTTAAATACTTGTTTTTAAAGGGTATTTCCAGTCGGTTTTAGATGATGCACTGGTTAGCAATTTGCTGGTAATTAAATGAAGAATTCTGAAAGCCGCAAACAAGTAACACAGGATGCTAGCTGGTAGAGTAACTGTGTTGCGTTGGGTGTTGCTACAGTAAAATAGGTTTTATATCTGACATCAGGTTGTTTTGTAGGTGTCTTTTCTTAGGTGTGCATCATCGTTACCTGTGGAGGAGGCACTTCTAGTTTGGAAACAATTCTTAGAAACCCGGAATCGTTGTGGAGGGAGCCGCTGATGTATAGACCTTCACGACTGATTATCAAGGACTTGTGTATTAGAGTCACTTCCAAGTACCTCACCAGACAGACAGCAGGGTACCTCGTGTATTGGAAAGTGATCTCTGGCCACGAGTCACAACAATCCAACAGACAACCTCGAACTTACAGCTTCAAATAGTGGCTTGTGATCCAACGACTAAAGCCACCCCCCCGTGTTCATGCAGTAAATGTTGTTATAATTCTAAGGGGTCCTTTTTTTTTTAAGTATGAGATGGACCCCATATTTCTACGTTTCTCTCATTTAGTTTCTTGTTAGGATTCTTTTTTTCTTCTTCTGAACGATAAATGATTAAATGTTGGAAACGATATTTTCATTTCTTGGAATGAAGATCTATCATTATTACAGTTTCTTGTTTAGCAATTCATGTTCTCTTTCTTATTATGAAGTTTTTTAAACGCACGTGTAGATTTGTTAATCTACATGTCTAGGCGTTTTGCTATAGTGTAGTAGTTGTGTTTTTGGTAGTTGAACTTTAATAGAAGCTCCTAAACAACAAATAACCTAGTTCTTCTGATTGTGAGAAATCTGTGTCTGGTCCAAATATGTATATAAAACGATGTGCCCTGTCACAGTTCAAAACCGAAGGCATCGAATCACCGTTTTGTACAGGAGCAACCTTTTGCATGGATAAGACGACAAGTGTCGTGACCTCAGGTTCTTTATTCCTTTCTCTTTCTTTTTTAAAAAATAGAACAAACTGAGAGACATCTTCAAAGTTGATGATGATGATGATTATCATATTATGTGGCTGCCTATTACCGGGTGTGTACCTGGACACTTGCTTGGCAAGTCACGTCTTGACAAGCTTCTCCGTTGTATCACGGCAAGCCAATCACCGGCTTTGCCTCACAAGCCTGCCAGATAAATAATCCTCAGAATAGAAGATAGAATAGCGAGCATAGAATAGAATAGAGTGAGAGATAGAGAGAGAGAGAGAGAGAGAGAGAGAGAGAGAGATTGACCTTGTTTCCTCCAAATGCAAGGATTTGTTTTGTGTTCTAGAAAAGGGGTTTTTTATGTGAGCTGGGTCTTGTTTGGGGAACCCACCTTTTGAGGTTTGCAAAGGGGCGGAAACTGTGCCCAACCCATGGATTCCATCTGAGGTGTCCACTTGCGGCCCTTGTTCCGTGTGGAATCTGGTCCTGGGGAACCAAACAAGTTGGTGATGGTGTTTCATCTTTGCTCCATGGCACCAAACTCCTCCATTCTTCACAAGGGAAGGTGCAACTGGGGAAACATGAAAGCAGTCGAGAAAAAGAAGAGAAAAAAGGCTCATGGATCTTTCATGCAGGAGGCTCTTTCAACCATGTTAAAAAAATAAAAATAAAAATAAAATAAAAATTAAGATAAAATAAATTGAGATAAAAAGATTGAGAAAAAAAGGAAAGAAGGGAAATGAAGAAAAAAAGAGAGAAAGAAGGAAAATTGAAACCTCATCTCATGAGTGAGGGGATAATGCCTCTGCAAATTGTAAATATATGTCATTTGTTACTAGCTCCACCTTGATTAAGAACTTTTTTATTCTAATTAAGTGCATATGGTTCAAACTCTTGTCTTTGTTTCTGTCTTTCATCACTCAGTCATTCATGTGATTATTTTAAAAATGAATTAGGTTGAGGTTTTGGTAAGATCTAACATTGTGATGTATGAATTTGAACAAATACTTGTAGATGTGGATTTGAAGTATTTGCAATAGGCATGTTTAACTAAAGCTGGAATTTTAATAGTTTAAATTATCATAGATCATAAAATCAAAGAAATCAGAATATCTTCAATATGTTTGTACTACCAAAGACTAAGAGGAATGACATTAAATTGTACTTTGATGGTGCAAAATTATGAATCAATCTAAAAACAATAATTAGAAATTTGCAAAATGATGGACTTGGTAAATTCCAAATTTATTTATTTTTATTCGAAAATGCACCTTTCTCTAAGTTTTTATTTTCTATGATCATTGTTATTATCTGATTTTTTTAACAACCCAACAAAACATATTATTTAAGTGGTGAATATTTGCATTCTATTTTATAATAATAATTTTGTAACTGTGGATTTATAACTGATTTGTTATTAATGCAGTATTTGATACTTTTGATCGCATTCATTGAATCACAATTGATTGGCTTTCAAAGTCACTAGTAAATGCCTTGTTCTAAATATGTGTTATTATTATAAATATTTTGGATTCTTTATAACTTTTATCAATTTAATCAAGAGTAAAAACAAAATAAAATAAATTAACATTACAAAATTAGTAAATTAAAAATTTTAAATTTGGAAAATAAATAATAAATCAAGTTTGAAAGGTTTAGTATACTTAGTTTTTTTTGTACTTGGCAATGTAAAATTTAAAATTCTCAGTTGCTTGTTTAACTAAACTTATTATTTTCTTAAATCTAACAAACAATATATACCATATTATATATATTTTTAAATATAAGAATAATTAAATTGCATTAAAATATCAAAATTTTATACCCAATTGACATCCTTAAGTATAAGAGTGGTAATTAAGGCTTTTAATTTTAAAAAAAATAATTTGATACTATTATAGAGAAATTATATTCTATAATTAAAAATAAGAGTAATTTTGTGTATATGTATATATACAAATATATAATTTTAAAAAATTACTCAAATATGTCCTTTGAAATTATTTGTTTATAATATAATTGTTATTATTTCTATAAAAAAATTATGTATTTTATAAGAAGATAAAATAAACTATTCTTTTTATTAATAATTAAATATTTTATATTAATAAATTAATAAAAAAAATTAATAAATTAATAAAAATAAATGAATAAAAATATTTTTATATTTTTAGTATTTTATAAATAAATTTTATTCTTTTTATTTTTCAAATAAATTTTAATTAAGATTACGTATAAGTTCACTTGCATTGATCAACACTAAAAAAAGAGTTTTTTTTAGAATAATCCTAATTGATACATGTATAAATAATGATATTATAATAAAGTTATTTTATTATAATATCATTATTTATACATGTAAAGATAAAAAAGAGTTTTTTTTAGAATAGTCCTAATTGATACATGTCCAATATTTCCTAATACAGTTTATATAGATTTTAGTTGCATATTTGGCTCTAAAAAGTACATATTATTTTAAGGTATAAGTTTTAAGATCTGAAAACTAATTTTTTTTAAGGTTTCAAAAGTATTTTTTTCTAAAATATTATTCTGTAAATAATATATTTATTATGTACATGCAAGAAGGAAAGGCATGAGATTGTCTATAAATAATGATATTATATTAAAGTCATTTGTAGTTCTTAAAAATAAATTAGATGTATGCCAATTTATATAGTCTTTAATTTTTTATTTTTAGTAATTTAAATATTTTTTTAATTAAATATTTTATTTTTAATTAATTACATAGTTTTAAATACTATTATTGAATATTTTTAGAATATTTTTAATAAAAATATGCCATCTATGTAAATATGCATGGCTAAAGTAATAAAAAAAAACCACAATTGTAAAGAAAACTTATAGAAAAACTATAATTTAAATAAGAACTAAATCAACATATTGAAAATTGTAATTATTTTAATCTAAGTATTTAAGTAATTTAAATTGATCAAGAATATTTACATAATAATCTAAATAGCTAACAAATACAATAGATACTATAATAAAATATTTAAATTGATGTATATATATATATATATATATATATATATATATATTAAATCATTAATATAATTTAAAATAAATTAATAATTTTTTAATTAAAATTATATTTTTTTGAAGATAATATATTAATAAATATATTTAAAAATACTTTAAATAATAAAAAATATACTATTTAAAGTATTTTTGAAGATGTCTATTTAAATTTTTATTTTTTAGAACTTGCAATTTTAAAAATAGACCAATACCTATATTTTTGAATAATAAATACTTATATTTATATTAAATTATTAATTTTTAATATAGAATTTTTTATCAAAATTTAAATATTATTATTTAATTATATTTTATTTAAAATTATTAAGATTAATGTAATAAAATATGAGGAAGTTTATTACTAGAATTGAAGTATAAATATAAGAAGAGAAGAGAACTAAAACTACTTGCCAAAATAAACTTCTAGTTTGAATTCTTATACTATTAGTCAAATGTCTAAGCACATGGACTTTCTAGTGTGTACATACAAACAACTAGCTTAGTTAACAATTTTTAATTAACATATGGATACTTGTTTTATTAGGCCACATGACGGCTTGGTAGGCTATGACGACTAAATAGTATTACTATCAATAAATGGTAGCTACAACTTGTCAATTGGCAAAGTAGTGTCAACCCCCTATTTTACATTATGTCTAATAGGAGTTATACATTCTATTAACACTCCTACTTAATGACATATTAGACTAATTTAATTTGATGATGCCTATCATCTCCTTGAATTTACAATGTTTCTCATGAGTTAGACTTTTGGTCAAAATATCTACAACTATGTCTTCAATCCTATAGAAAACTAAGTTGATTTTGTAACTTTCAACCTTCTCATGAACAAAGTGATGTTGAATTTTAACATACTTAATATGATCATGGGATGTAGGATTTTTTAAAAGAAAAATACAACTTAGGTTATCATTGAAAAGAGTCAATGGACTATCTTGTAAAAATCCAATACCTTTAAAAATCCTTTGAAGCCAAATTACTTCCTTTGTGGCATGAGTAGCTTCCATATAGTCTACTTTAGTGGCAAATAATGCAACCATTGGTTGCTGCTTGTAATTCCAACTAATTGCACTATTAGCCAATAAGAATGTATAATTAGTGGTCAAACATCATGTATTAATATCTCTTGCATAATTTGCTTCAAAGTAACCAACTACTTATAAACTCAAAGACCTTCTACCATATTGTAATACATAATTTGATGTGCCTTGAAGATATCACAAAATATGTTTCATCTCTATTAAATGTTGTAGGCCAAGATTTGCCATGTATTGGCTAACAACTCCCAATGGATAGAAAATATCAGCTTTAGTGCCTATCATTGCATAGACTAAAATACCGGCTGCATTTTGATATAGAATTCCTTTCACTGCTTTAACTTCTTCAAGAATCTATGGATTCATGTCTCCTAACACTTTACTGTTAGAATCCAAAGGTGTAACTAAAAATTTACGATCTTTCATGCCAAATCTTTCAAAGATATTTTTTATATATTTTTACTAATTGAGGTAGATTTTACAAATCTTTTGATTCTTGATAATTTGGACATCCAAAATATAGTCAATTTCTTCCAAATCCTTTATCTCAAACCTCTCAATGAAATTTCTCTTTGTTTTCAAGAGAAGTTCTTGATTATTCAA